GATCGACTTATTCATGATATTGAAATTTACGTTTTTATATGCATCGCACAGATGACGCTGATTACAAAAATCGATTAAAACACGTAATTGACATAATCGATTTATTAAAAATAGATTTTTATTATCAAAACAATCGACTTTAAAAAATCGATTATAAGAAAAAAATAATCGATTGATATGAAAATCGATTATAAGAAAAAAATAATTGATTAATATGAAAATCGATTATTTTTTTCACATCCCTAGTTCCAAGTTGTTGGCAACACTGATTGACATTGTTATTTGTTAACCATCAAGTCAAGAAGCTTGCTGGCCGAACCGAAATAATAATATTATTATTAATCTATATTATAGATTTCTGTTGTTTAACTTATGCTTTAAAGAAAATCTTAGGTTTTGGTTGGTAATATACTCTGTTTTAGTAGTTGTTATTGATCAATTTTTTTTAAGTTGGTGCAAGTATTTGTTTTGTTTTTTCGTTCGTTTAATTTTCGAAAATTTATTACTCATTACACATATAATATAATATTTTATTCCAATAATTAATTGTAGAATATTGTAATTAGTGATCGGAAGTTATCTGGTTTCTTCTTTTCTGTGTTGCGAAGTTGCGAATTATGTTCTCCGCCAGGTGTAAGTGTTAAAGTGTTCCGTGTAGATACTAAATTAATAAATGTGCAGCGAAGTAAGTTTATTAATTGAAGTAATTATCGGGAGAGTTAGAAGCAAATATAATTTTTTTTTATAATGGTGCATTATCGTGTACCACCTTAAAACAACAGAATGCATGAAGATATAATGGTTTGGTAGAAAATGTATTGTAAATATTGTTGTTCCTAATAACAATTATCAAATATAAATAAAAATTGTATTGTTCATAATGCAGTAACTAGCCAAGAGTATAAATCATTATATTTAGTAATTAGTAATCTATTACACTTATGGGACTGCCTGGTTGGTCTAGTGGTTGTTAACGTGATTGCTGGTCATGAGATCCTGGGCTGGGCCAAAATGAGTTAATGGATTTTTTGTCAAGACATTCTCAATAGCAGCCCAGAGTTAGGAAGTTGGCGGTTGGTCCTTTGTCTGATCTTTCTCCGATCGTATCAAATTACTGCCCAATGGGACAATGATAATAAGAAAATAGAGTGCACCTACGTTCGCGTACCCACTTGGTTACTATAATCCTGTCCAGTGCATGTCTATTAGTGTCCAGTCTCCACTGAGACTGGCTGTTATCATTACAGCCTATTAAAGTCCACTGCTGAACTTAGTATCCCCCATAGATTGCCTCGTAGGAAGGCTATTTGCCATAGCTGTCACACAGCAAGCAAGTTGGCTACTGCAGTTTTTTATTTGTAGTCATTATTAGGAAGATGCTGCTGCCAATCTCCTGATTTGTTTCACTCTGTCGCCTCGTACGATACTCATGGGATGATGTAGTGGATATTCTTACACTGGTACTACACTGTACTGAGATTGGCCGCCATGACCGGAATTCTGTTTGGAGGATAATTATTACATTTATGTAGTAAGTTTTAAACAGATTATTTTCTACAACTCCATATCCAAGTTGTGTTAATTTTATGTAGACTAAATATTTTTTTTATTTAAATACATTTGTTACGTGTCATAATATACTCTACTAATCATCATTATCATAATAATCAACAGTCTATAAAAGGATTACTCTCCTTAATCCCTTTTAGCTCAGATTCAATCCATATATGATTGTAAATATGTCAAATGCTTTAATATCATCATCACCAAATAAAGGCCCTTCCACTAGTTTTAGGGCCTTGAGTAATTCTTAAATTGTAGTGTTCTAGAATTGTAGTAGGTACCAAGTAGAGCACAATTTAATTAGTTGTGATGGGGGAAAATGTTTCTATGGCACAACTCCATAAAAGTCAAACTGGGGAACAATGTATTACAATAAAATATTGAATTACCAAGTAAATTTGTTAATTTTAAATAATTAAGACTATATAATATCTACACGTATCTATAGATATAACGCACTCACCCTGAGGACTGAGGAAAATATCCTGGAGCTGGAGGAAGAGATGGACAAGTTGGGCTGGAATATTATAGGTTTATCCGAGGTCTGAAGAGAGAGGGAAGACAAGGTCGGTCCTCGAATCTAGCAACTTGTTCTATCACTGGAGGGGCAACCATCTGTTTCAAGTAGGTGTCAGATTTATCGTCCATAAATCTCTCATTAACAACGTTGTAAAGATTGGGAGTGTGTAGACAGGGGTTGCGTACCTTATACTCAGAATCACCAAACGGTATTCACTGAAGGTCATACAGGTTTACTCACCAACCTCAATACATCCCAATGAGGAGGTGGAGGAAATGTATGAGGATATATCTAGAGCCATGCATTCCTCCCAAACCCACTATACAGTTTTAATGGGGAACTTCAGTGCAAAACTAGGCACAATAGAGAACGGAGAGCTGAAGGTAGGGAAATTCGGAATAGGGCAACGCAACCTAAGGGGCGAGTAGCTGGCCGACTTCGTGGAGAAAGAGGGACTCTTTATGATGAACTCTTTCTTCCAGAATCGGCCCCACTGGAAGTGAACCTGATCGAGCCCCGAGGGTTTGAAAACAAAATAAGAATGACTTCATCATGACGAATAAACGGCAACTGTACAGTGATGTCTCAGTGATCGCGAGGGTGACAACTGGCAGCGATCACCAAATGGTGAGAGGCACACTGAACCTAAATGTTAAGTTGGAGAGGTCATGTCTAATGAAGTCAACACTCTGTCCCCCTCGTGCTCTAATCCAAAGTCCCGAAAACTTTCAGCTCAAGTTACAAAATCGTTTTCAGTGCTTAGAACATTGCATTGCAGTGGATGATATAAATGACAAGCTCGTGAAAACTGTCAATGCAGTCGGAGCTAAGTTCTGCAAGACCCGCTGCAAAAGAAAACAAAAACTTTCCGATCACACTCTTAATCTCATGGCTGTTAGACGGGATATGAAGCTGCAATCTTCAGTAGATTTGACAGCATACAGGCAACTGAACAACAGATCTCCAAATGCATGCGGCTGGCCTTACGGAACTTTAATACAGTTCGTTTTGAAGAAGCTATCGAGCGGAACCAGAGATATGTCTGCCAAAAAAGCCAACCGTCGAAGCTGAAGACCGAATGTTGGAGCATCGTTTCTGGGACACCTGAGATATTGAGTGAGATTGAGAGGTTTTGTGCACAATCTGCCACTTTGCCTTGCGTATGTGGCCTATGAATTTTATTTATTTATTTGTATAGATTAATTACCTAATTTGTAATTAATTAGTGATATGTCGATAAACTGCAAACTAAATAAGAAATTATAAATCTGAATGTGAAAGTTTGTGTGAATGTTTGTAACTACGTGCGTGTCCTCGTAACTACAAAACAATTTTGATAAAATTTAAAATATTTTTTTAAATTATTTTAACAGTGGTAGAGCCACGCGGCGGCTTTTGCTGTCGCACGCATAGGCCGGCTCGAACCGGGGTGATACCACGAGCTCACAGAATACCAGTGTGAAGTAGAGGTCTACCTCTGCGTTTCCCTTGGTGAGTGCAGGTGGCCGGAGGCCCTTTTTACTGGAAATGAGGCATTCTATCTTAGTCCTCGCGGGTGACAACGCATCTGCATTTTGATTTGTAATAGAGGATAGATGTAGATGTCTATGGGCCGCAGCAACCACTTACCATCAGATGGACTGTGTGCTCGTTTGTCACCCTTATCCTATAAAAGAAAACACTATAATAATTGTCAAAGTATTATTTATTTCTTAAATAGAGAATAATAGTCAGTGTTTAACAATCATCATTCATCAGAGCTTAAAATAAAAGACATCTCAGAATCGTCATCATCACTATCCTCTCCTTCAGATCTCTATCACAAATCGATCGATAGTTTCTTCCATTAGGCCATCTCTTTGCCAATATTTTTTTCTAAGTTTATTATATAATCGTCAAAGCCGCGCCAATCTTCCTCTGTGATCTGACTAAGTTTAACCTGACTAAGTTTAAGATCGCCCTTGGTTTAACGCCGAGTGCGCTCGTGCTGAAAAGCACAAGCATATGGCGTACTTATCCTGGGTCGATGCTCGAGACCGTAAAGCTCCGGATGTTAGCCTTATAAAGATAGCCTTTAACCAAGCCGCCAAGTCATGCAAAAAGGCATTACGCCAAGCCAGTTTCGACCGCATTAAACGCATTGGCACAAAACTCTGTCAAACCATCTGGCAGTAGAGCTTTTTGGTCTCTCGCCAAAGCGGTCGAGACAAACTTCTGTCGGTCTACACTGCCACAGCTGGTAAAACCAGATGGCTCACTGGCGCATGCGCCTAAGGAGAAAGCGGACTTATTTGCTTCTCTTTTTGCTTGCAATTCGCGTCTGGACGGTTGCAATAGCGTACCTCAATTACCTCACTGCGGTACCTTTATATCTGAGGTCCGTATCACCAACAAGGAGGTTCTTAAAACCTTGCGAAGTCTAGACGTGAACAAAGAAAGCTAGTGGACCTGATGGTATACCAGCTATAGTTCTAAAGGTCTGTGCACCTGAGTTGTCTCCTGTGTTAACACGCTTGTTCCGCCTCTCATTCAGGACTGGAATAGTGCCTAAATCTTGGAAGCTGGCCAATGTGCAGCCTGTGCCTTAAAAAGGTAGTCGTACCGACCCTGCCAACTATAGGCCAATTTCAATTACCTCCATACTCTGCAAGATTATGGAGCGTATATTGAACGCCCACCTCATGGCATACCTAAAGCAAAATGATCTCCTCAGTGATCGCCAGTACGGGTTTCGCCGAAATCGATAAACTGGGGACCTTCTAGCGTATGCCACTCACATATGGGGCGAAGCCCTCGAGAACAGTGATGAAGCACTTGCTGTTTCCCTCGATGTTTCGAAGGCTTTTGACAGGGTTTGGCACGCTAGTCTATTGGGCAAGCTTTCAGCGTACGGCTTATCCCCTGGCCTAATTGCCTGGGTGAAGGACTTTCTGAGTGAACGGTCTCTCCGGGTCGTCGTTGATGGCTGCTCATCCAATACTACTGTGGCGACTAACGCCGGTGTTCCTCAGGGGTCCGTTCTCTCCGCAACTCTCTTCCTGCTGCATATAAATGATCTGCTCATTCCCGGTGTCTGTGGGTATGCAGATGACAGCACAGTTTTGGAGAGATACCAAACAAGCGCCCGGGCCAGTCGGGATTAAATCCAGTCAGAAAGAGAGGCTATGGTTGAGCGTGTGAGTCTCACACCACAGGCAGTCTCCGAATGGGGCGATGCCAATCTCGTGAGATTTAACGCCTCCAAAACACAAGCGTGTCTTTTTACCGCTAAAAGGAGCCTGCTCACCTTGACTCCAACTTTCCGGAATGTATCCTTGGAGTACACTGACCGCCTTCAGTTGCTAGGGATTGAATTTTCTCCGAACCTAAACTATGGGCGGTTCATTGAGTCCAGAGCCAAAGTAGCCGCAAGGAAACTTGGTGTCCTTGCAAGAGTGCGGCGGTACTGCACGCCGGGGCAGCTTCTTACCTTATATAAAGCGCAAGTCAGGTCGTGCATGGAATACTGCTATCACATATGGGCTGGTGCTGCAAAATGCCACCTGGCAGCATTGGACTCAATGGAGAGACGTGCTAAGAGACTCATTGATGACCTTGATTTGGTTGAAACCAATCTTCAATCTTGTCAGCCTCGAGCACAGGCGCAGAGTAGCCAGTCTCTCGGCATTCTATAGGATGCATTTAGGTGAGTGTGCGCAGGAATTACACGCCTTAATTCCTCCCTCTCCTTTCCACCATCGGACAATCAGACGGTCGGCGGGTCTTCATCCCTTTATTGTAGATATTCCACGCATTAGAACCAACCGGTTTGCTTCGTATTTTGTAATGCGTACAGCAAAGGAGTGGAATAATTTGCCGGCGTCTATCTTTCCGTCCGAATACAATCTAGGCGTCTTCAAGGCAAGAGTGAAAAGGCTTTTGTTACGATAAGACAGTGCGATTTACCATCTAAGGCTGCATCACCACTTACCACCAGGTGTGATTGTGGTCAAGCACTGGCTTATAATAAGCAAAAAAAAAAGTGCTAACTCTGTAATATCTTTAAGTTTTGTTAAAGTTAAATCTGAATTGACACTTTGTTGTCTAATAATTCTTTTCATTTTTGCCCAAGCCAACTCAATTGGGTTGAGATCACACATATACGATGGTAATCTAACTACGACATGGCCATGGCTCCCTATGAATTGATCTTTTTTAAACGTTTCTCTAGGCTTATGCAAATCTGTTCTAATTTATTTAACCATTCCTACATATCTGTATGGTGCAGGTCCTAGTGGGGACTTTATTTTTTTGTACACTGTGATACGATACGTTATCTATTACGATGACGTTGTTTGGTGGTAGGTTAGTTTTTGGTCCAATAGAATCTCTCTATAAAACGATTATCCATTTTTTTATTGGTTAGTATGGGCCCATAAAAAACAATTAATGTGGCAGTTTTTGTAACACTCGGGGACGACACAATACTTATATGACAATTTTAGTCAAAAACTAGCTGTTCCCCGCGACTTCGCTCGCGTGTTAGGGTTTTTATGTTTTTGCGCGGAACCCTAATTCTTTTTCTATAATTAAAAATTTAAAATTTTGTACAGCCGATTAAATATAAATTATTTAAGAATAACTCAAAAACTATTGGTCTGACCTTGATCAAATTCATATGGGACCACACGAGAACTATCAGCTCTCACTTAAAAAAAATCATCAAGAATCATCGAAATCGGTTCACCCAGTACAAAGTTATGAGGTAACACACATAAAAAAAACATACAGTCGAATTGAGTACCGTTTCCTTTTTGGAAGTCGGCAGAAAATAAAAGTAGCCTAAGTTACTCCTTATGAAATCTGCTACCTGCCAGTGAAAGTCTCGTCAAAATCGGTCCAGCCGTTTCTGAGATTAGCCGGGACAAACAGACAGACAGACAAAAATTTAAAAAATTGTATTTTAGTTATAAGTACCGTATTTGCTTTAGTAAAAAACTGTAATTTTGACATTACAAACAGACACTTCAATTTTATTTATTTGTTATAATAATCACAGCGGGGAGTGACCCGTTTGGAATTGCGATCAGAATAGTAAGTTCCCATATAGTGCGCGGCGAGAAGCGAGTAATGACGTCACCGCGCTCTCTCCGGACGACCGAATTTTGATAAGATCAAGGCGCGGGAAAGCACTTTAGTTTTCATTATTTCTGCCATTTCTAGGGGTTCCGTAGTTACACAACTAGGAACTCTTATAGTTTCGCCATGTTCTCATTCATTCGCCATCCGTCCGTCCGTCCGCGCTTTTACTCCTACGTGCTACAAATCTGTAATTTGGCATAGTTATAAATATTAATCACGTCTACAAACCTGCCTGCCTTAAATAACATTTTTATTTTGGTACCTCCCATACAAGTAAATGGAGGATGATTTCTTTTTACTGGTGGTGGGTCGTTGTCGAATTTTTGACGGACAAAACGCAACCGTTTTCCCGACGAAAACGGACTTAAAGGACGAAACTTATTCAACTTGGAATATAATTGCGTTTTCGTCGAATGAAATGGTTGCAGTTTCTTACAACTAGATAAGGACTGTTTTGTCTGTCTACGGTTTTAAAAGAACGCGGCACCAAAGATGAACGCTAAGGACGACGAGAAGTGAGATAGATAGTTGAATCATTGCGTTCTCAACTGTATTTTCATTGGCGTAAAATAAAAAATTGCACCAAGTAATTCGAAGACCGGTTTGTGCAACGAAGACTGTTTGAACCCAGGACGCAAAACGGTTTCATCGTCACAGAACACAAAACGGTTTTTGTAAACGGTTCGTCGTCGCAACGCCCACAACTACTTTTTACCCGTATATTCCATATTGTAAACTGTAAAAAAACAAACATTTTGAGAAGAAAACTACTTATATGCATTACTAATATAGCTTTACTTTTTCATTTGCGGGATAGGCAGGGAGGATCTTTCTTACTTACTTACTACTTTAACTTATTTTTTTAGTTGGTAGTTATTGTAGGCCTCATTTAAAATTTATACAATCATATAGCTTCATAAAGTTTCATTGAAGTTTACGTGAATCTTCGTTACGGTCATATAATTATGTGTATCTTAGGGTTGTACTGCCGGAAATGTATATATACATAGTCTATTACGATCATCTTTGGACTTACTTGGCATGTGAATGATTTTATGTAAAGAAATTTATGGAAAGTTTATTTAATCTTTTCTGAATAGCACTCCCTATACTTAAGTCACATTTGAAAATAAGTCCTTCAGTTACGATCTTCCTATTTGGGTCCATTTTTAGTCGTTATAGCGGTCAAACCGCGAACTCACTTTTATACTTATTTTGAACTCATTTATTATGGCCATTTTTTAAGATAAGAAAAAATAAAAACAATTTTTTTTTGGAATCTAGTTTTGTAATAAACACAACAAAAATCTTTGGCCTTGTCAATTATTGAATATCATTATATTATTATTATATAATTATTGATATTGTTACCAATATATTGATGACTACCTAGTCACTCCTGTATACTGAATGATAATTTTACAACCTAAAATAAAAAAAAAATTCAAATTCAAAATTAATTAATCTAAATTTTGTTTTATGTATTTCAATATATAGCACAGTCAAATATTGTAGCAGCATTAACATCAAGATATTTTTCGAGGAACCACAATAAACCTGGTATAATGGTTGACTCTAGAAGAGTAGTCAGTTATGAAGATATGCTGAAAGTTATTCATCAGCCGGAGAAAGTCATTATTGATGTAAGAAATGTTGAAGAAATAAATGCTACTGGAAAGATACCCTCAAGCATAAATATCCCATGTAATTTTCCATTATTTATTTTAGTCTGCTTCTTTTTTTTTTTTTTTGCACAAATAGAGAAATAATCATCAATACCATCCACACCAGCCTGTTAAGCCCTCTCTTGAATTTTCTTTTAAAGATTTAAACATTCATACACAAACACCATTCGTTATTAAAAAGTAAAAGGCTTTATTAAGGGTTCATGTATTTTCCAGAATGGTGCACGGAAGGCACCAGCAATGTAGGTATAATATGTACAATAGTAGGTTCTAATGCCGGTGAACCCTGTACATTCAACAAAATCCCCCTTGGCCCTTAGCTGATTGACTATTCTTTAATCACAATTGCAAATCATTTGCTTTCTGTTTCTGTGGACATGCGAAGATCATCCAATAGATAAAAATCTAGAATTGATAATATGACCTTCACAGCATGTATGTGCCATCACTCTTGAGAGTAGAGCTTGAAGTAGTTCAGCATTGGTACAGAGGGTTACTACTCCCACAGATAATTAAATTTTGTGAACAATGAACTTGAGATTCCTCATACGGCCAGCAGTTATGGATCACGTCTCAGATCAATGTCATCACTGGCAACACGCACTGCTTGTATGTCATTATCTCAGAAACGCTGCACAGCCAAGTTGGATCCATCGATTGACCTTTTTTTTTCATGGGGAAATACCTACGCATACCCGCCTCGCAGGGGCAAGGACGGGTTATGTCGGACTCGCACCGACTAAAACCCAATGGTGTTCCACCTTCGCCGCATATTGGCAGGGCCACGGGAACGCTTTCAAACACATCCGTGGCCCACCATGCAGCCCCTTCTCGGGGGAGGACCTCCTCTTCATTCTCCTTCTCAGGCAAGGCGCACCAGGAACACAAGGCACGGCCTCCAACTCCACCTGCGTATCGGACCCCCCCCGAGTCTGATATGCGGAGGCCATGGGGCCAGGAAAATCGAGCGCTTAGTAGCACCCGCTTTCCCGACCCCAGCGGCGGATCTAGTCTCTGGCTCCGCCGCCAGCCAAGTTTCGGCCGCGAAGGGTAGGGAGAGCGGCGCCTCGCAATACCGACACTCCTCTCCCCCCGCGGCCCCACCACCACCACATCAACGGTGCGGCCCCGTATGAGTTGCGGAGGATAGGGCGAGTGGCGCATCGCCATACCAACACTCCTCTTCCTCCGCGACTCCACCTTGGCTGCAGCGGTAGGGGGAAAGGACACCCCTCTCACCGCAGCCCACCGACACAAATCCAAAGTGGGCTCGCCAAGCCCACTCGGAGTGGCGACCTCGGGCCGGCCCTACACCACGGGCCATCAAAGGGGTTCCTCTTTGTTCACCGCGGGTGACCAAGCCACGGCTACTAAACCCCCCCGCCACGACAAGGCGGGAACCCGTTCGGGGGGGGGGGGGGCATCAATTGACCTCTCGGTTCAAGTTTGATTTAGTTGGAGAATTCGTTCAGCTAAACATAATCGTCAACAACTTCGATCGTAGTGTTCCCTACAACTGTCAACATGACCCGGATACACATGGCCTTTGTCTGGTGGGCAAGGTGCGGCTGGGGTGGCCCTTGGGCTTAAACTACTGTCGCTGATATCACTATATAGGTACATTCGCATTTTTAACTATATCAATATGTCATTGGTATTACCATGGTAATTAATTATTTTTATAATTTTTAGGGTCATTATTTTCGCATTCATATTAAGTTTTATTTTAGTGGGTGAAGTACAAAACACCTTGGAGTCAATGTCAGAAGAGGATTTTAAAAAGCAATTTCAACGTAGGAAACCATCTACGTCCGATGAGTTGATCTTCTATTGTCAATCAGGGCGACGATCTTCTGAAGCCCTCGACAAAGCGCTGAAACTTGGGTATTCAAAGTATGTAACCTACCTAACTTTTTGGAATTTTTGCAATAAATATTAAATGTTCTTACAAAAAAAGTAGTACCTTTGTATGATAGTCGCAATAATACTGTCAGACAAATATTGCAATATATATATACCCCAAGCACAAATGCAACCCCTGCTGTTTTGGATTGAAGGATAAGTTTTTTTTATAAAATTGAAGTGACAAGAGAAATAACAGTCCACCTAGTGTTAGGTGACTACTGCGCACGGACACCTTCAACCACCTTCAAATAAAGAACTAACTATAAATAGATAAGAGGTTGGTAGGCCCATCTAGTCGGGAGTCCTGGGCTTAAGAGGAGATCTAACACCTAGAATTACATTAAATACAAAGTCTGTGGCGCATTTCATCTTAGTACTCGGAAGTGATAACGCTCCTGTATCCTTTGAAGTTGGTTGAAGGTGTCCATGGGTTCCGGTAGAACCTTAATATCAAGTGGACTGCTGAAATATTATAACGCATATCGTATAGTCGTTGTCCCTGTGCCTGTACTTTCTACGGTCGTGTCAGATTGCCGTCCCATCGGATTATAAGTGTAAGGGAATAAAAAAAATTAAAGAGTCAAGTGCACTCTCTGTTCCCTTACCTGTCTGCTCACACATCCGTGTACCACAATCTTGTTCTGCGCGGTCTCCGTTGAGACTGGCAGTCGCCTTTCGGTCTGGAGTACATATATAAGTTACCGTTACCGCTACAGCCTACTAAAAGTCCACTGCTGAACATAGGCCTCATCCATAGATTGCCTCAAAGGGTGGCTATTTGCCATAGTTGCCACGCGGCACGCGGGTTGGCAACTGAAGTTTTTATTTTTATTTTGTAGATGTTATTAGAAAGATCATCTGTTCGATTGTTTCCCTCTGTCGCCCCTACGACACTCACTGGATGAATTTGTAGTCGTGGATACAGCGATTTAATTAAATTGTTACGTGTTTGAAGAAATTTACTGTCAATTAGATGTTTTGTTAATGAATAAATGATAAGGAAACTATATGCGTTTAATTTCTCGTTCATTGACTTCTGTTATCTGAACTGGTAGATAACATTTTACAAACATACATTAAAATGCGGTTCAAAAACCTAAAATGGGATATTTAAAATAGGTTTTCGAGTTAATATTTTTGCGAGTTAATACACATACATAATATGTTAAAATTACCTACAATTTTAACAAAATCTTGTTTATAAATTATCGTAATTAAAGTAATTACGATAATTTCTTTTATCTGGAACTTGTTTTTCTCATTATCAACATTATTTATTGTTTCAGTTCCAAGACATACCTAGGCAGCTGGAATGACTGGTCTAAGAGGCAACGTTAATATATTTTAGGTTTAAGATGTTAATAAAATGGTGCTTGGCAATTTCGTGTGTATTATTACTAGTTATTAGGTAATTATTATTAGTTAGGCTGATAACATCCACTCCTATACTTGGCAATGTCTTCCGTTTTACAGGAATTATTACACGCTATTGAATTCCTATTAAGAGAGAATTACTTAAAAATCTTAAATATTTTAAAACTAAGAATTATTTTAATTAATCAGCTTTTTTTAGTAAACTTTTGAACCTTTCTAAAGATAAGTAAACTACCCCACATTTTTTTTATAGGAGGGCGCAAACGAGCATGCGGCTCACCTGATGGTAAGTGACTACCGCCGCCCATGAACAGCTGCAACACCAGGGAGGGAATCGCAGATGCGTTGCCGGCCTTTTAAAAGGAGTACGCTCTTTTCTTGAAGGTCCCTAAGTCGTATCGGTCCGGAAAAATCGCTGATGGTAATCAATTCCACAAGGAAGTCGTGCGAGGAAGAAAACATAGTGGTGGACCGCCAATCATCCAGATGGTGTGGATGGTATCGGCAGTTCTGCCGCGATGTGCGTTCATGAAATTTGGTGGCTGGGATTAATCCGAACAATTCCTCAGAGCACTCCCCGTGGTAGATGCGAAAGAAAATGCAAAGGGATGCAACATCTCTTCGCAGTGCCAATAAATCGAGCCGATCGGAAAGGACTCGGTCGTCGACGATTCGAGCCGCTCTGCGCTGGATGCGGTCAAGTGGAAGGAGCTGGCACTGGGGAGCCCCTGCCCAGAGATGCGAACAGTATTCCATGTGAGGCCGAACCTGCGCCTTGTAAAGTTGCAGGCGGTGTGCCGGCATGAAATACTGTCCCGCTCTGCTGAGCACGCCAAGCTTTTTAGAGGCTAATTTGGCCTTCTCTTTCAAGTGACCACGAAACTGCACGTCAGTCGATGTGTCGACTCCGAGGATTCCGATACTGGCTGAGGCAAGAAGGGCCTTGAAACTAAGGAGATACGACAAAGGGTTTCTTTTTAGCGGTAAACGCGCAAACTTGTGTCTTCTGAGGATTAAACTGGGCTAGATTTAGTCGCCCCCAATCCGAGACTTTGTTCAGCAAAGACTCGACTTCAGACACAAGTTTGTTCCGATACTCGGCGACGTTTTCCCGAGAAATATTGGCACGGCCGGTGTATAGAGCATCACCAGTGCTGTCATCCGCATAGCAATAAATGTGACCAGTTAGCAACATATCATTGATATGCAGAAGAAACAGCGTTGGTGATAGCACACAGCCTTGTGGAACACCAGCGTTAATAGGCTTGTAGTCGGAGCATGCACCGTCTACAACGACCTTGATGCTCCGACCTGCAAGGAAGATGGTGATCCAATCGCAGAATTTCTCGGGAAGCCCATAGGAAGGGAGCTTAGAAAGAAGCGCTTTGTGCCAAACCCAATCGAAGGCCTTCGCAATGTCCAAACTAACGGCCAACGCCTCCCCATTGGACTCTACTGCCTCTGCCCATCTATGGGTCAGGTAGACCAGAAGATCACCAGCTGATCGACCCCGACCCACATTCTTTGAAAAATGCCATAAGGCGCAACGCCGGTAGGTATTTTCGCACTGGTGATACTGTGTGGATTTGAGTTTTGTATACTTTATTTATGCATACATAGGCTGCATTAAAAGTATCGGGAATGGAATATTTCCACTGTTCCTGTCATATTAAAATCTTTTTAATTGAAAACTCCTTGGTTTTAAAAATCGAATACCATTTATTTATTTAAAAAAGATTCTCAGTCTTGTCACAAGGTTTTGTTAAACTCCCGCCTAAGGGTATTAGTGTTCTGTGGTTAAACTTGTTTAGTCGTTGAGAAAATGGAATTGACTCGAGAAAATTCAAGAGCGATGATTTATTATGACTTTCGAAGTGGTTTAACACAAAAACAGTGTGTTGACCGGATGATCTCTGCATTTGGTGATGAAGCCCCATCCAAAACCACAATTTATCGCTGGTTTGCTGAATTTCAACGTGGACGTGTCAAGCTCAGTGATGATCCCTGTCAAGGTCGTCCAAAAACTGCAGTCACCCAAGAAAACGTTGATGCTGTGCGTAAGCTGATTGAGGAAGATCGACATGTGACATGCCGCGAAATTCAGGCAACTTTAGACATTGGCATGAGTCAAATACAAATAATCTTGTATGAACAATTAGGTGTAAAAAAGTTGTTTTCCCGATGGATACCGCATTCGCTCTGTGAAGAGCAAAAAGCGGCTCGCGTTATTTGGTGCGTCAGAACTCTCGAAAGATTCCACGCAGGATCCTCAAATGCTACAGCATTTGAGGATATGTATAGGATATGTATACATACAACATCGTATCAGGTGACAAATCCTGGATATACGCGTACGAACTCGAAACAAAAAACCAGTCACGAGTTTGGGTGTTCGAAAATGAGTTAAAGCCAACAAAAATTGTTCGTTCACGGAGTGTTGCAAAAAAATGGTGGCCACGTTTGTCTCCAAAACCGGCCATGTTACGACTATTCCTCTTGAAGGACAAAGAACGGTTAATGCAGAATGGTATGCTAGCATTTGTTTGCCACAAGTTTCTGAACTCGGTAAAGAGAACTGCAACCGCCGCATCATCCTCCATCACGAGAATGCGAGTTCTCACACCGCACACAGAACAAAAGTTTTTAGAGCAAGAAAACATAGAATTATTAGACCATCCGCCGTACAGCCCTGACCTAAGCCCTAATGATTTCTATACTTTCCCTAAAATAAAGAATAAATTGCGTGGACAGAGATTTTCATCACCACAAGAAGCTGTGAACGCCTACAAAACAGCCATTTTGGAGAGCCCAACTTCCGAATGGAATGGTTGCTTCAATGATTGGTTCCATCGTATGGAAAAATGTGTCGAATTTCGCGGAGAATACTTCGAAAAGCAATAAATACATTTTTAAATAGTAATGTTGTGTCACTTCCTTGATTCCCGAAATTTTCAGTGCCGCCTTCGTATTATTGAGTTAGGTATAGGGAGACGACTCAATTAAAGAAAACATCCCACAGTTAATGAATTACCGTTCGTAGAGAAAAAGACAAAATATTCCCGCTTAAAGAAAAATGAGCAATACATGCGTGAGTGTCGTGGAACGTTCCGTTGGAACGAAGTTCCTTTCGTAGTATATTATTATTCACTACCTTTTTACTCGCGGCTTCGCTCGCGTGAGCATGAATTAGGAACACCATTAAATGCTGTTTCGTGCCAAATTTAGCAAAATTCAATTACTTTTAAAGTCCCCTCGGTGTCTGTGTCTTAATGTCTGTCGAAAATATTGTTGCGCGCCACTATTAATGTCTTGTACATGGCAACACTAGTTACACTAGTGCCCTCTAGTGTCGAGTAGCAGAACTAGGAGAGTCGAGATCCTTCCAGAAATTTCGGGACCGATATGTACTCGAACATTCTAGAGGTCGCTACAGTAGAAGGTTCTGGAAACTATCTGAGGCCCTATATAAGGCCGGTATAGACCACAACCGGGGCAGTATTGAATTGGCGATACAAGAGAATATTTCGAAGCGAAATAACGGCGAACTGTGTTTAATTATTAGTGTGATTTTAGATTGTAATTAGTGTTGTGTAATTAAAGTGTCAATTTTGGTAATTCAATCGGCAGGTTTTAATTGTCACGAACCCCAAGCGCGTAACAATTGGTGTCAGAAGTGGGATTAAATATGCCGATTTTACCTAAAGACGACACCGAGGGTATCCGTACCCGAAGTCAACGCCAACAGGAGACGGACAAGAGACGATTTGGTGGTGCAACGTCACAGACGTCGGCAGGCCAGTTGCCGACCACGGAGGCCGGCCCGTCAGCAGCTCCTGCATCTGCAGCACCTGACTTTGGTGCTCTGATGATGATGCTGCAGGAACAGGCTCGCCAACAAGAGGAACATGCCCGCCAACAGGAGGAACAGGCCCGTCGGTTGGAAGAGCAGCTGCATCGCCTACAGGAGGAACAGGCCCGCCAACAGGAGGAACAGGGCCGTCGGTTGGAAGAGCAGCTCAAACGCTATAAGGAAGAGCAGATGCTCCTCATGAAGGACCTTTACGCTACCTTCGGGAAAGAGATAAAGGAGTTGAAGGATAAGGTTGCTCTATATGACAACCGCCTGTCTGAGGCTGAAACCCGAATCGACCAAGTGTACAATCGGGTTGACAACGTGATGGCTGATGTGAAGAAAACGCTGGACGACCTCAAACATGGAGATGGAATTACAGCTCCCGTGGTAGCTACAACACCTTCGCTAGGTGGATTATTCAAAGTGCCGCCGTTCGACGGGACTTCTTCCTGGTCGGCCTACAAAATCCAGTTCGAGGCTGTTATGAAGGCGAACGGCTGGAATAAAAGTCAGGCCATGACTGCTCTCACCCTAGGCCTACGCGACCAAGCCTTAACTGTTCTGGAAGCTCTCGGTAAGGAAGTGACTTACGAGCAGCTCCTTGAGGCATTGGAGTCGAGATATGGCGACGCTCACCTGGAACACGTCTTTCGTGCGCAGCTCAAAGATCGCGTGCAACGCAGCAACGAAAACCTGCAGCAGTGGGCCCTTGAGGTGGAGAAGCTAGTTCGGAAAGCATACCAGTCTGTACCTGCGCTCATTGCAGGGAACCTGGTGCAGACATTCATCGACGGCATCCGCGACCTTGAAGTCAGAGCTGCTGTGAGGCTCGGGCACCATGAGACGCTTAAGGATGCGTTGGCCCATGCACTGAAGGTGGAAGCCGCGCGGCAGGATCATCGTTCCCATCGTGTCAGGGAGGTTTCAGCAACTACAGTTCACGACAGCAGTAAAGGATACAGCCCTAGGTGCTACGGCTGTGGGAAAAGGGGCCATCTTCGATCCAGCTGCCCTAAACGAACTGTAGAAAAAGGTGATCGATCTCGAGAGGGTAGTGTGGCTAACAGCACCGCCCAACAGCAGCAGGGAAACTGGCGGGTGCTGACTGATTTTAGAAGAGGTACTCCTAAGATTGTCCATGTGAATAGAAT